AGATGCTGGGAGAAGAAAAAGACATCGGAGACCAGAGAATCAACTGCAAACTTAAGCTTGCGAGGCATTATTTTTACCCACAACCAGCAGCTATTGTAAGTCACTTTGATGGTGACTTAGTTAGATGGCTGGCTCCAAAAATTTCACCTCCAACAAAAGTTCATGTGTTGGGATGGACACAGCTGCAGAGACTCTTTCCAGCTAACTGCTGAATCAGTTTGCATCAACTTGCAGAGCAGAGCCAGACGTCCGAGGGGCTGACAGTAATAAGTGTTGCATAACAAATTACTGTCACCACGTCAAATGTTCACTCAGACAAACACACACAAACGCCAGTTATTCTTACGGTTTTCTGAGTTCAATGTCAGACAATGACAAACAGGGTCTTCTGTCAGACCACTGAGTTTAACAATTTTATACTAAAAAAAACCCCCAGTGGCATAGTTTATATTCATATACAGCTCTGCCCTAGGACCTTTCTATCTTTCCACGATCATAGGTGAATACCTGTGGCAGAGAGAACAGCTGCAGAGTGTCCAGAGTACAAACTAGAATATGACTGACAAGACTTGGAAGTAAAGAAAACCGGAGCAGATAAGTAGCAACGCAGTTTGCAAATGAAGTAGCAAGGGGTGAGCAGGCTGACACAGCTAAAAATGAAGCTCTATTTACAAGATACACCAGTTGCTAATGTTCTAAGACGTGTGCTGACCTCGTCCAACTTTTTGCCCCGTAGGTGACTAATGATCTGCTATGGTGTGAATTCGTAACTTCATCTAATATTGTGCCCGACTCATTTCCATGAATTTGTGAAGCACTGTAGTGTTGACATAAATCTGTAATCTATCCATATATAGACTTTTATATTATGTAGGATCATGCTGTAGGAAGTATATAGTGGTGCTGGGTGGTTTGGTCCAATTAGATTTACAAACATCAAAATACTTCTTAAAGCTGTGGATACTAGATGTTTACAGATAATTTTTTAGTTTTTCTCTTCTTCCTTTATTCAAACAATGTGATCTATATATGTATTTAAATATAATTAATTTTAACAAAGGTCTTTTTGCATATTGTTCCACTCTCTCACACTACACAATGAGTGGGCTACAATACATTTCAGTCATGTTAGTTTTAAGCAAGGAGTGTATACCTTTTGACCCAACCAACTTTACATTTGACGCTGACTGATGTAAACTGACATTTAGCAAAGATTTCCTTCACTTACGCACACAGTTCTGTGTGTCTGTACGCTGTGTGCTGCAGCAGTAGCAGCGCAGTACACACCTCTCAACCACAGTCCTTTCTCATTCAGCACATTTCCTTTCTTCATTTGAGAAAAGCGGTTTTGAGCAAGATCCAGCTTCTTATACGGAATTGGTTCTATATCTGTCACTCTCCAAAGAAGAAAAACGATATTGATCTAGTTTAGCTACTTTTCCATTAAGTGTAAGCCAGGTATGAGGCTGTGTACTTGTCAGTGATGTGAGTAATACTGCTTTGTGGGAGATGATATGATGTATTCCATACCTCCCCACCTCTTTTATGAACATAAGATAAAAAATATTTATTATGCTACAACTTTTTTTACATAAAGAAAATGTATTGTGTCTACTAAATTACATAGAGAAAACTAGGTGGTGATTTGAATACAGACAACTGTAGAAATTAACACTACAGCTTTAATGTGAACAGTGGTTCAAGTTTGGAAATGTTAAGAGCAGCAAACTGACACTGAGCTGGGAAAACTGGCCCAGGAAATCCAGAAGTCGATGACAGAATTCAGCAAAGAAACCTGGGAAGCATCAGAATAGTGAAATAGTGAACACCCTACTTTGTGCAGTCTTATTTCAAGCTGTTCCACCTGCTGGTCCCTCTGGCTGTTTGACCTGAACACAACAAATCATCAGTCAAACAGATAGTTGTCAGCCTGAACAGATGAGGCAAAAGGAAGTCCTGATATGGACATTAGCCAGAAGTGGAAGAAAGAAAGAATAAACAAGCAAACAAATGAATTCATAAGATAACAGGAAAATCATAAAAGTCTTGTTTTGGCGAGGGATCTGTGAGTATTAGGTGGAAGGGAAACTAACTGAAGTCAGGTAATTTTACAAAGTAATGTAAAAAAAAGGCTGATATTAAACTGACTGAATATATTAACAATGAACAGCAACATTAAACAAAATACTAACCAAATAGTGGGCCCACAGAAATGCTACTCTTACAACAGTAGCATAATGATACATGAATTACAATGTAAAAAACTGAGAAAAACTGCTATGTATTCTGTGATAATGTGATACACAAAGCCACCAAATTTTTATAGAAACTACTTGAAATGGCCTTTTGAAATTCATCCCCTGGACAAAGATTCATCCCTTGGAAAAGAGCTTTCAGTTAGGAATTAAAAAACTCAACCCATGGCCAAAAATGGAAAGGGTTTGGAATGAGTGCGTATGCTAGGGTGAAGTGTTGTCTGAAGCTTTTTATTGTGTTTGTACTGAGACACGCAGCATGCCTGATGTTGGACAGTGATGTAACAGATGTTATTAGTAGGACATAAAGAGACTAGCCAAGCAAACATTTACAGTAGCTGACAGCTGCGTGGAACAGGGAGGAGACTGTATACTTTTCATATTCATTCCTCCCACTTCCAATTTGAGTGCCAATTTTGAAAGAAAAAGGAGACTGATAACAACTGGGCTACAGTGACATTTCCATAGCATTCACAACCACACCTGCTGCTGACTGATAACGTCTCTTTGCATTTGTGTATACGTGCATCAGCTGTTACGTATAAAGCCTCTGCCTGCAATGCCGAGAAATGCACAAACAACCCCAAGCAAACCAGTTTTAATGACTTTACTGTTCCTTTGTTTCTTTCCTTATTCTATGCAAACAGTTGCTCAAAGAATTACTGCAGTGCTGACATTTACCTCACATGATATGATCTATTTTGTGTGACTTTAGTGGCACTGACACTCATGTAGAAGCAGAGAAAATTAGCATTATATCCATCCAGCTAAGTTATGTTTACTTTTGCTTGACACCCTTGGGGAATAACAAAAAAGTAAGCAGGGACACAGACCTAAAACATAGGGTATTTCACATAAATGTCCACACTTGAATCTTCTCTGATCAAACACGCAAATTACACAATAGATTAATTCCCCCTTTTCCCCAGCTTTCCTTGGCTTCAGTCTTCTGTTTATAGCCTCCTTTCCTCTTATGATTCCAATCGCTCTGCACCTCCCCCCCATCTCGTCCATCCATGCTCCACTCTGGCTTTGATTCATTGCTGCCTATGGGGATCGTATGTACAGTGTGGTTGTATAATTTGAAAGAAATTACAGTTATGTCTGCAGCTATGCAGTCTGTAGCCAGCAAAGACTGAGGCTTTTTAATCTTTTTTTATTTAGTGTTTGTGTATGTGCAAGGAAAGCAAAAAGATATGGCGGAGCCTGAAAAAAGACTAATTCAAAAAGCGAGATACCTCTGTTTGAGTGCCCTGCAAAAGAAAAAGAAAAAAAGGTGATAATTATGCCTCACACCTTTTAAAGTGGCCACACCTTTTTGGCTTATGTGACAAATGCTGTTGAAAGTCTGTGAGAACAGAAATTTATGTGAGAAAACTCCCATCAACATTTGATGGTTGAGTGCAATGGGGGCGGCTAACATGTTCCTCAATAATTTAATTAGTTACACTTGTCTGAAAATTTGAAGATTTATCTTGTTTTTATGCGCCGAGGATTTGAAACAGGATTGGTCTCTCAGCAGGATTGCTGTCAGGAGAAGAAGGAAAGTCCAAGAGGAGTAAAAGGAACAAACTCGCTGTGTGGACATGAACAAGAAAGAGAGGAGGTAACTTTCAAAGACTGACAGGTGAGAGGAAAGAGTGAGAAGGGGAGAAAGGTAGAGTGAAACTGTATAGTGAGCAGCAGAGAGCAAGAGTGAGGGAGGGAGAGAACGCTGTGTGCTGCACCGCATGCTGCTCAGTCCTCTGACAGTGCGCAGTCTGTGAGAAAGCTGCCCCGCTGAGCACATCAACATCAACAACAGGAGGAGAAAAGAGCTGAGCTCCCAAATATCGGGTACAGAACAAACACCAGTGAGTGGGGAGGGGCGAAAGGTGGGGAAACTGGGGCACAGGCTCTGAAGTGACACACATTATCAGCAGGCAGGACCCAGAGGAGAGCGTGAGAAGAAGGAGGGGCAGAAGACGGAAAAAGTGCTGATGGCGGGAGTGCAGTGGTGCACCCTCCCAGGACCTGAGCGTGAACCTCCCCTTCGTTTCCTCCTTCATCGGTGCCCCGTCTCCTTATCTGTTCTCTGACCCTGCCCCCTCCTCCCTTACCCTCCTCTCCCGTCTCTCTCACATGCCATCGCTTGCGCACCATTCCCACAGTCAGACCAGGGAGAGCGCAGCTCCTGCCTCGCATCTCTGTCCCTTTGCTTCTCTGTCGCTCCTCTGCCTGCACTCTGCACTCTTCAACTCCTCTGATTTTCACTTTGCAGCTGAAAAGAGACTGAAAAATTGCCCAAGCCAGGGGCGAGACACAACAGAAAAGAAAGCCAGTGAGAGAAAAAAAAAAGCCTGGATCCTGTGAAGAACTGAGGAATCTTTGTTCTTGTCAAGGTTTTGATGACTGACCTGCTGTGCCATCTCTCTCGTGGGAGGAAAGCTTGTCAATGGAAGGCTTGATGTAAGCAAAGAACAACAAAGAGGAAAAGCTTTTGCAGATTTGCTCGGCTTCAAAGAAAAAGTGATCCATGAGAAGATGCAGCATTTGGAGGTGGACGAATGAAGACTTGATCCATATACAAGGAACCAAAAGGAACATTTCAAAGTGAGAGGAGAGTGTGAGAAGAAGAAACAGGAAACTGTAATTCACGATAAAAAAAATAACATCTTTTTGAGACTTTAGGCTTCCCTATCCGTCTCTCTCTCCACTTCATTCACTTTTCATCTTTGCCTCGGGTTGTGCCACCTTGCTTAAGTCATGCAGGTGTCCATCGCCTGCACGGATCATAACCTAAAGAGGGGCAATGGGGACCACAGCAAACAGAGCACCACAAGCCCCAATGTGGTCAACCAGGCCAGGGCCAAATTCCGCACTGTGGCCATCATCGCTCGCAGCTTTGGCTCCTTCACTCCACGCCACATCTCACTGAAGGAGTCGACGGGAAAACACACGGGCATGAAATACAGGTGTGTAAGAGTTGGAGATGTGCATGCTGAGAACAGTGTCTGAAAAGAGGCAGTTTTTGAAAAAAACAAACAAGACATCGATTTGACCAGCATGAGAAGCGGACATTTTTTTTGCATTGTACAGAAAGAACGGAATTCTATAATATCAGTTCAGATCAATCAATAGATTTGATTTGCCCAAAAACCCATAAAAAGTTTTTAGATGCGTGAAAGGTTTAGTCAAAGGAACTGGCCACGATTCAGTTATATCTTATAATATTTTATATATCTTGTCCTTTTGCAATTTGATTAAATGTGGTGGACAAAAAATAGAAAAAATAGATCAGTACTCTGATTCTAATTGGAGCACATTGTGTACCTACTACTATTCAAACCATTGGTTTTTTACATTTTTATAAAAAAAAGAAAAAGATTTCCCTCTCAATGACAATCTGATTACAAGGCAGGTAGCTACACACACAGAATCTGTTTCAAAATAAGCACTCATATGCCTGTTGTTTGAATCATATGGTGTCATTCCACAAAGCTGTTTCTCGCTGGCACCATCTAAAGAGCCTCTGCCAAACCTTTTTTATGCTTTCTGAGCTCACGCTTCACATTTGAAACCTGATCCGTAGTCTCCAATAGGATCAGTAAGCTGTAGAGAGCGGCTCATTCATACTGGATGCCACAAGCAAAGTGACATGAGGTCGCTGAAGTTTCCTGTAGGCACATTCTCTGCTCTGTCTATAACTCCTTTTGACTTTCCTGCAGTCACACTGATCTGTCTTCCTCCCAAACATGGAAACAAGTGTTTTTCAGATGCCTTAAATGATAACGCATTTTGTCCCTTCTCTGAGGTTGTGGTGAGACAGCTCTGCAGGGTGGGCAGACTGTCTGAGTCCAGTTAGACCTCAGAAGAGCTGCAGCTAAACTTTAGTGTCTGACTCAAACTGTGAATTCTTTGCAAAATGTGTTTGATTGTGTTCTGCAAAGCTCTACAGAGCATCATGAGATCAGACCTGAGTGTGTGTCCCATCCAAAAAGAGTTGGTTTGTCTGTGAACTGTGAAATCAATGTTCAATCTAATTGACAACTACTTAAAAAAATCAAATCAAATCAAATAAATATATATATATATATATATATATAGTATAATGTTTTTTTATCAGAAAAAAAGTGATGGACTGGTCGGACAAATTATTCCCCTCAGGATGGTAGTATATAGTCATGTATGTTGATCCTAGTAATGGTATATTATTGGTATGGTATGATCTTTTTTTCTAAATGCCTCTTTTTTGGTCAGCAGATTTCCACATGTGTCTGAGTGAAACAATGCAGAGGAATGTTTTATTTTTGTGATGCTCTGGTTCTTTATCAATCTGGTATAAATTTTATCTTGGCTGTTTTGATTGATACTGTTACAGTGTGGCAACCTTCAAGACTTTGCTCCCATTACGCGTTGTCTGGACTACCTCATAGTCTAGACAATGTGTAATGTAAGTGAGCTGTGATACTGCGTAACCAGTAATGGGAGCAGGCAGACAGCTGAGCAGCACTGAGGTTGTAGCTGTGTGCTCGTCACTCAGAATTGAAAACCATTGATGAAAATGGTGAGGTTAGCAAAGACACATGGCTGAATCAGAAGTCAAATTTGCAGAGCTTCACCATCTGTCATAGATACACAAACAGCACATTTGTGCCACGCATGGCCCATTTACCGCAGGGGCTGCTTTTGATTACAAAGACTGAAATGGGCGGGATGCTTATCGAGCTTCATTCTGTGTCGCTGCAAATAAGGTAGATTTGTAGCTGGGAGATGAAGAGCAAATTCAGTGAAATGAAACTAATGTGTATAAAGTTGGTATTCAGCGTCTAAATTAGAGTTGAGATCAGGCAGTAGCATGACTGCCCATGTGTGCTGGAGCCAGCAGTGAAAAAGACCATTATTACTCATTTTAATACTCTGAAATGTTTAAACTTCAAAAGAAATTCAGTTTCTAAGATTCCATTTAGAAGAATTAGGGGTATCCAATAAGTCTTTGAAACTCTAAACCACAAGGTTGGTTGAGGCTCAGTGACTGACAGGCTGCAGATACAAAAATCGCATGATTCCAACTTAAAGTGTTTCACCTGCTTGAAACATGGATGAGAACAGTCCTTAGAACATGAGATGTCAGTCATCGAATCTACTTCAAACTAATCCTTGCCCTGTGGCACATATTGTTTTATGCATAGTAAATATAAAATCCGGTCAAAAAGATTGTAGTTGGTAGTTTGCTTTGAAAAAATATTGTTATAAACCTTATTTAAAGTATATAGAAAAGTTTTTAAAAAAGGCTTTGCTTGTTGGTCTCACAGTTGATGAGTAGGCGACGTCTCATTTTTATGGGGTTATGGTGAATGTTACTCTATATTGCTGATGCAGGGATTCACTCATAATTATGCTGAGATAGTCACTCTGTATGCCAGGGTTTTAAGGGGTTATATTCATGTTTGCCAGCATAGACACACTCACCACCCTTTGAATAAAAACATAAAGAGCACTTATCAAAATGGAACAGTTAGTGCATGTACTGCCTGCACAGTTAACAGAACATAAGAAATGTTCGGTTTCACATTTGCATCAATCATATTCATCAATAATTCTGTGTATTTTGAGTCCATAGGACACTGCGGGTGACCACATGCCTGTCAAATTGTCATTAAATGTTCAGTATGCAGAGGATGGTCCGAATTACTCCTGACAATGGATGGAGATTCTGCTCACTGTTGTGTAGGAACAATGACGAAAGAGAGGCAGAGACACATGGAGACAGACGGGAAACTACTGTAAAATGTTTTCTGATCAGTTTTGAGGTCCCACTCTGTGGGATGAGCCTTTGTCTTCCCAGCCCCATCGGTCTGTCTTTCTTTTAGTTTCAGGAAATGAACCCAGGGTTGCACACCATCTGCTCTGGCACTGCAGTACAGACAAAAGCATGAAAAAAACTGAAGATGTCTCTCACCCTCTCTTTCTGATGAACACTCACACACACACACACACACACACACACAACGCACACACAACGCACACACATGCACATACACGGGTACACACGTACGCGTGCACACACGCACAAACACACACACACACACACACACACTGTTTTTGCTTTATTTCCTTTTTTCAACCCCATCTTAAAGGCCAGGCTATTCAAACTACCCCACTGAACACCTATGAATATGCCTTTTCTTTTAATAATGCGGAGAATGCTCGACAGTTCAAGACAAAACAAAAAATCACTGTGTCAAACTGACACACTGCACCATTCGTTAATCTCCTTCGGTAGGTTAAATCTGCTGGTTGGTTTATCTTCACAGACATCTCCAGTGATTAAGTGCTGTCTGCATTGAACTCTCCTTTCCTAGACAGAGTATTTCTAACCGCGTTGAGAGTTCTTTAATATTTTCATTATTAATTCATTGACGAGTGTAATTTTGTTTGCTGATGCATTATGCAAGCTTAGCAGAAATTGTTGAAATTTTAAATAGCAGAGTATTACATCTAGGCAGCGGGGTGATGCAGGCCGAAGCACATATAGAGATAGTGGTTGCAATGCTCTACGATCTTCCATACCTTGGCACAATTTTTAACTCATCATTTGCTTTCCAGTGTGGCAGTGAGGCTAAAGTGAGGCTGATCATGGTTTTAGAGTGTAGCTAATGTTAATCCCCTGCCTCAACCTGGTCCTCTGTGGTTAGTGCTCGTTCACCTGATAATGATTTCCTTTACTCGCAAAAGTTCACTTGGATGAAAGTGATACACAGGAGATTTATTATGTGAATTCTGCATGCTCTTGCACAGTAATTGCCTACAGAGTGCAGCTTATTCCTGGTGTCCTCTTTCTTGATTCATGGTGTGTTGTAATAACGAGCACTGAATCAGTCCAAGTTCCAAGCTCAGCTGTATTTAAAATGCCTTGGGGCCGCAGTGATTTCTGTATTGTCTCCTTGTCAAGTCTACTGCTTAAGACATAGTAAATCTTGATTGAGACTCTAGGATAGAGGGAGCATTAGGTATAATTGATTAAGGGAAATGCTAAAATGGATTGCACACAGATTTGAGCAAGGCATTTAAAGAATATGCTTGTGTGACATCACATATATGTTTTTCATCTTTCTCTGTGAGTGAGGTCATTAATTTCCCTTTTGAGGCATCATATTGATTTCTAATCATACATAGTTTCAAATAACAACCCATAACAACAACTTTAACAGTTTATTTTAAAACCGGCACCCGATACCATATTCTGCTCACATTCGGATGTTTTGGGGGAAAGCGTAACTGGCAGTACACAGCCTGGATAAGGAGCCAGGCCCTGCTGCCACTGGACGAGAGGCAGGCTACAGCCTGGATAGCTCACTCAAAAATCTGTTGTAGATATTATGATCCTTCCCAGGTTGCTTTGGTCTCTTCATGTTACACCTCTTTTGCAGTCTGTAAATAAACCCCTCTCTTCTGCTGCCATAACAAACATACTGACAGTGGCAGACAAGCGTTAGCCTCTCGCCAGACTGTTCAGTCAAGCTGCAAATGTTCATCCGGTGCAATCAAATGATTTTGGAAAAGACACTCAATAAATTAACAGAGGGACCAAATCTGTACGCAAACAATGTTAAGATGTCTATGTGGTTTTACTTTGCAGCTTTTGAACCTGCTGCAGGACGACCACCATATGCTGTTAAACAGTTTAACAACTAGATTAACAGTCATTTACAATCTTACTTATGTCGCTATGTGACAGTAACAGTACAGAACTGAGAGGTTCTGGATTTCTTTTGGCTCTATACCTGCTTTTTCTGAACACAGACTTACGCTCATCAGAGAGATGCAAGGCAAAGAATAGATAGCTTTCACCTGAAGTGAATCCAGCTGCATGTGGCCCTTCAACAGCAGCTGGCTGTGTGTTCTCAGGTCACTGCTCACAAAGGGAACAGGATGGCTCTCTATCCTGTTTTTTAAGGCATGCTACAAACCC